TTAATATCCAGACTATGTCCAATATGTTGTATAATAAATGTCGACCCGTCGATTATTATTCATAAATTCATCAACGTACCCGTTAAAAGGTTTTAACTTTTAACGTACGTTAACTTTGTATTAAAAGTTATGCCAATATAAAATAAATAGCGCCTGATCGAAAATTGAGACGATAGCATATTAAATTCGAGCACAAATCACTTTAAGATGTTCAGAGTACAAAAGGTGCCGTAAGTTTTGCTTATCGGCGCAACTGGGCCGTTAACCGCTACTGAACAATTGATTATAGCAATTCTCGAACATTCCTCTCAATAAAACCTCTTTTTGAATATGAAGCAATTTGTATTATATTATTGTCAAAGCCAAATGTTTCATTCCTTTGCTAAGCAATATTCCTCTTTAATTAAGAGGAATGGAACAAATTCCTGTATTATGTGTTATTGTCTCAAATTGTCTGTTAAAAAAATATCTGTTAAATAGAAATATTGATATATAATGATTTCCAGGGTCCTAACTGTTGATTGTTAGAAGTTAAAGCAATTGTAAAATCTAAAAGCGCTTACATTATATCTTAATATATTTGCAAATATGCCTGTTTGTGTTGTTAACTTGTTCTAACGTACTAGTTGTTACTCTATCAATTGTTAAAAAATGTTTATTTCAATTCTCACATGTTTTTTAACTACTAAAGATCCTGAATACTTAAAAAAATATGCATAACGATATTTCTATGGTAATCCAAAATAATAGATAACTCCTCATTGTACGTAATTAAATACGAGACATCGTAAACAAGGGAAAAGGGCGCCCCCCCTCTCTTTGTATTAATTAAGCCATATATGAATTAGTCCAGTATATAATAGGACGACTTACTGCGCGATTATATTAAGTACATAGTTGACATAATAATTTTGTTGTACACATCAAAATTTGTATTAATCCATCAGGGTTATTGTAATTGAATTCGGGGAAAACCGTATACTAAGGCCTCTTCAAAATAGCCAAGAAAAAAAGCCAAGACCGTATCCACTTTCTGTTTCAGAAAAAATAACTGTTTATACACCGTTCTGCTATCGTTAGCTGCTGTCTGCTAGCTCTAACAAGTGCTTGTCTGGTTAAGTAATTGAAAAAAAAACTTAAAATCTAAAAGTATTACATTTACAAACCATAATTAATATCTATTATATTAATAATTAATTATTCCATAAAGAACTGTAAATTAACTATAATGTATAGATAAGATGTTTATGGTAGTACGTACCTAAATTGTTCAACTCGCTATCAACTTACAAAATTTGCATTTTTTTTATGATTATAGTGTACATTAATAGATACAGTGAAGTGATTCTGAACTGTAATTTAGGTTCTCGTAAATATGGTAATTAATTCATTTTTTATTTGACGGTGCGACACATGACATTTGACTGTCGACGACGTCAGAACAGAATGGCAGTATGACATATGTCAGCTGTCTGTCAGCCGCCATTCTTGCGGTTTTTTTTTTTTTTTTTTTTTCCTTTTTTTTCTTCTTTTTTTTTTTTTTTTTTTTTTTTTCTTTTTTTCTTTTTTTTTTTTTTTTTTTTTTTTTTTTTTTTTTTTTTTTTTTTTTTTTTTTTTTTTTTTTTTTTTTTTTTTTTTTTTTTTTTTTTTTCTTTTTTTTTTTTTTTTTTTTTTTCTCTTCTCAACGTCACAGCAGTGGAAGCGGGGCGGCCATCTTGGTCACTTTAAAATCAAGAACCGCCAAAGCACCACGTACTCGAAGAATCGCTTACTTCCGACGCCATCTTTAACAGTTTCTAAGTTGATTTAATTTTAGTATCGTTATCAATGCCTAATTAAAGAGTGTTAGCGTTATATTTTGTTAATCTATGAAGTTAAGGAGATATAAATCATTGGAGAATCAATTTGTGACTTTGTTCGAGTTTCTGACCCACGTTAAACATGGAAGATGTAGGCCATCCTGATTCTATATATTTATTAAAAATTTACATATACGCACTGTCATTACAGATGGAATGCGACAGAGATCTTAAAAAACTAAACAATATATATACCATAAAACTAAAATACATGAACCTAAACCATACTATCTTTCGTAACACAAAATAAATATTAATGTATTTGTGAGTTCACCCCAAGCACTGTAAAAAATATCAGTTTTTTCGTGTTATAGATTAACACCTGGACAGTCCTAGTCCATTGTGCTTTTGCCATTAAGATCGTTCTAGCAAAAGGCACCACGAAAAGAGGTGGCGCGTGTCTTTTGTACCTGTAACAGTCAGGTACGTTTATGTTTAACATGCCTAGGACGCCGATGTTGTATACTCTCCCTCTTAATAACCTAATCATATAAACATTTCATTTATTCTTTAAATTAAATGTATGCTTATATATTATTTACTAGGTTTTAATTTTTATACCGTCTTATCATGATAAAATTTGCAAACGTTTTATAGGTATAAAAACTCCCGGATTACACATAAAAACTCGTTGCAGATTATCCTGTTCACCTTACATTTTGTAAGAGTTTCGGAAACGGCCGCGCCCATGAAAAATATGTTAGAAGGGAGAACGGAGCCCCCATAAGCCTTTTATGAAATCGTTAATGATGCCGTTGATGGCTCGCGGGTTTTTGAGTGTTTCGCGTTCTCCTGCACGGCGCGGGTCATTACAAAATATTGGATCCTCGAATTAAACCATTTTATGGAAGCAACAAAAATGCTTTCTTAAATTATTGACCGTTACATTTTACGCGATACAAAGTATTATAGAGTTTTATATTGCTTACATTTCATTGCTAATCATTGCGCGAGAGGTTCGGATTCGGGGGAAAAACATAATTTTTTTTTTTTTAATAATAGAAGACAGACATAAGGAGCGGAGTGAGAGGAGGAGAATCATAACGTTTACTTGATGTTGGTATAGGTCCGCTACAGCATCTAAACAAGATGCACTGTCAACCTCTTCAAACTAACTAAATCAACAGACTGAAAATAAAACCCGATTAAACCCGGCTTTTTCATCTGTGGTCGGTGGTCGTGACCCATCCAGATTTCCAGACGGAGTCCAACATATTTTAGGAAAATTATAATTTAAAAACATGTCGGACCCGGCGGGGATCGAATGCATGACCCGTTGATTGTTAGACACAAATCGCTACCATTAGACCAACGAGGCCGTTAAAAATATATAATAGCAGATAATTAGTGAAAAAGATACACAAATGTCTAAAAAAAGTCTTACTTGACTTACTTACGAAAGAGGCTTACTTTAATCAATGACAGGTAATTATTACGCGACATCTAAGATCATTCTCCCTATGACCACGGCTGCTGCAAAGCATCCGAAACGTCGTGCCGAAGTTAAAAATCATTTTCAAATAAGTTTAACTAATATATCCCGTGTTAAACCGTTAAAGTGTTTTATTTAAATCTAAGATCATTACAAGAGCAACATAGCTAGCTTAGAACAAGAAGAACAATGTGATAGGAGCTTTATTAATATATGCAACACAACATTGTACAATTAGTTTTTACATAGCTTACATTCTCATAGAAATTAGAGTGAATTGAAAATAATGATAACGCACTTTTAAACAATACGTCGCAAATTAAGTGACGCAGTGTCATACACGCCGTGGCGTAATACAAAAAAATAATTGTGTAAGAGTTATTAACAGAAGAGCGCTGTAAGAGGGTGGATTTTATTTGTTCGTTTAAAATAAAAAAATAAAGCTCGCTAGGCAGGTCCGCACTTGACATTCGCAAGTTTTAATTGCCGTGCTCCGTGGCACTCTCGCGGTGGAAGTGGGCACGCCGTCACCGCGAGGTTGAGCCTCACAAAAACTATCTACAGAGACACATTTAGCGTTAGTAAACACGCCATTCCCACTTGTACATCGTCTAGTTACCATAATGAAGGTCTCCAGTGTCGCGCTGACACAAAAACGCTGCGATTGTCGCCGCAAATGACATTCAATTCTCTTGTTAATAACTGGCGAATTGTTTTCGCTGAGTTTCATTCACGCCCGAGTTGCTGGGGAGCGGAGTCCTTTAATCGGGGTGAGGAATCATTTTGAGAAAAATTACAATAACGCGTCTGTAAATTACGATTTGCTGTTACTAATGTTTTGGTTATATGTAGAGATGGGCCCAATATACAATGTAAGAACAGTCTTTTATTGAAATAAAACAATTAACGGTTTAAAATGCCACTATAATTGCTATAAAGCATCCGAAACGTCGGGCTATAATTACAATAATTAGTAAATAGGTTTAACTAATACATGTCGCGTTTTAAACCGTTAAAAGTGTTTTATTTAAATATGTACTACTCGCGTAAATTAAGTGTTTTATGACAATAGACGGTGACATACGGAACTTCGTTATTTTTGCAGCTTCTTGTAATTTAAATAACACAGCGCACTAATAAATTACGATGAATCTATAGAAATACAATATATGTTCCTAACTACGTGAATTATGAAAAAGGGCTGTCTTTGTTTAAAACAGTTATTATTTTTTAACTATGAATGTTCGTAGTTAAATTCATTCCAACCGATGATCGTTCATTAATATGACTTTCTATTAGTGACGCCTATCGAGGCTCTGATCTGATCAGCCCACAATTTCTCCACCCCGAAGTGGATAGATATTACGTTGGATGATGGGAAAATTAGGTAAAACCGCATTTTTAATAGTTATTTACAGTAACATGCAATAGAAATCCCATCGCTACATTTTCGTCAGACAACTAATTGCTCGCAGTTTTTCCTCCATAAAACATGGTAGTTTAGCGCGGGACCAATCTGTAGACTATATTTCTGAAGTCGCGCCAGCTAGCACTTAATTGAACACGCCACCTGAACGCTATAAAACCGTAGCACAGCATTCGTTATCGCTGTCACTTTGAGCAGAAAATAAACTACATTGAAGAAAATAAAAGTTTCAAAGCGTCGATATAACGCGAAACCGGTGGGTCCAAAGCACGCATTTAAAAAAATGGCACAGCTTATGCTTCCAGCGAGAGAGCAAGCGGAAGAGAGCCTTCGAGGGGGGAGGAAGGGGGTAGTTTATGGAGCGAACTGATACGGGACCCAGGAAAGTGTTCCGAGCTTAGGATTTGTGTGCGCAAGCTATTTACATGATATTCGCTCACGAAATAATATTAAGTTGTTAATTTATTGCGCTTAAATGGATTTATGGTGAGATTTTGTATTTATCTAATGTTACCCTATGCGATATCTGCTAATGCTTAAAATTGATACAAGTACTGTTAATCTTTAATTTACTGATTTTGAATTGTGTCGTTTGATGAATGTTCAAATTATAGTAAAAAAAATAAAAATAAATAAATCATTTAATATTTTCAAAGAATGATGAAGTTTGCATAATGATTACAACAGGAAACAATAAAGCTAAATACTTATTAAATTTAAATAACGTAACAATTTATTATCATTTTATAAAGATGTACAGTCGAAGTTCGGGCGGACGGTCAAATTACCCCACTCGTTAAGGTGCGCTATCGACCTATTCGCCTTTGGACATTAAATACTTCAAGGCTTTTTTTACCCGGACGATATTTTCATACTTCTACCTCGCATAGTTGCAATTAAACTTGTTTATAATTCGGAAAATTATTTTCAACACATGTGTCTTGTGGGAATCAAACTCGCGATCAGTTGGTTTGTCTTCAGTACTCATTTACATTCAAGAACAAATTTTATTTATTCAAAATGGTCAATTATAGAAAACTAAATCCGTATAGAACATTCTAGAACGTAGAAAGGTCAATAGCAGATCGTAGATAGCTGGGCCATCATCGACGGGGTAATGGGTCGAGATTGCGAGCCGAGGGTCGCGCTCTGCGACAGACATGACTTATTACCAGCACCAGGATACAACCCTATTTCGGTCCTAATGACCACGCTCGTACAGACGCCTTAATTTCGACGCCCCACGACTTTTATTAACGCCTTCAAGTAGCCAGCAATTTGGGACGAATTTTATTGTGGGTCACGACATTTCGATTAAGCTTTTTGCTCTTTCTCATTGATTAGTTCGACTTATTGCTGGGCTATACATGCTTCCACGCGTTTTATTTGGAAATAGATAGCGTCGATACTCTCGTGCACTAGCTAAAGGTCAAAATGTTACTTGAAATAGAAAAAATCTAGCTTAGTTTAGTTATACATCAACTATACAACAATAAAATAAACCAATTTTATATTGGCAGTATTTTGATACAGTTATATTCTTTATTGTTTAAATTAAACACTTTTAACGGTTTTAAACTTGTATTTAAATAACCCATCATTATCTTAAAACAAGGCTGTAGATTGTAGTTGAAAGTACAAAACTATACGGTCTTCGGCAACCTCGTAACCTATTCAATACGCCTAGTTACATCTTGGTAAGGAGTTCAATTCAAGTGATATATGTTAATCAACATATTTCGCATTTTAAGCTGTTAAAAGTGTTTTTGAAAGTATTTGACCAGAGTGAGTGTAACCCCTGAAATCTCTCTCGACGAAATGGTTATTTAAAGCTATTGTAAGACTAATTTTTGGGCCTGGGCTAGGAATATTGGCGCTAAATGATATTTAAGATGGAAAGAGCGAAAGAAAAAAATATTTAATGCCAATAATTTAAAAATACAGCAAAATACTTTAAACTAGATTCTTCAGCTAAAATTTTGTGGCACGTCGGGATGTAGACTCAGCTGAATGCTGCACGAAGGGGATCAGTGCTGTTTTTCTGTCTGCTCCCTCTGGCCGAAGTTCCGTAAGGTTAAAAATGTGAGTGCTGCGAGTGTAAAATATTAAAACAAACCATGTGTATATAACTATATAATAAAAAAGACTGCGGAACAAGGTAGAGAGAGACCTTTATAATCTTTACGTTGAATGGCGAGAGGGGCGATGTTTAGTTTTTTTTTAATCAATTGAATATCCACCACTCCATTTAATAATATGGAAACTTTGAGCCAGTTAGCGATCGAACCGCATCGGATATTCGCGGACATCCCGATCCGCATTCACATAATTACCACAAGTACCTCAATGATGAACCGTTAATCTGATAACTAGAATAAATTTGCATCCTAACCACATTTACACGCATCTGATGTTAGCGGCTTCTAAATCTGGTGAAGCTAACTTGACGTCATGTATATTTTACGGTACACCAATGGTCAAATGTTAAATTTAATTCAGTTTTAAATTTTTGGATTTTTTATTCTTGGTCGATCGAGTTCGGTATATGGAGTTTTTCTTCTAAATTGTCTCTCAAACCCGGAGCAGTTAAGTTGTAGGTGTTGCGATCACCACTGTGCTTTCGAGTGTACGTTAAGGCGTCGGTATCATTTATAGCCTGTAACCGGGACCGACGACTTAACGTGCGTTCTTACAAACTTTCTAAGAAAAACTCCAAGTAGCGAACGTAAATTTACGACAGTGGTAGTTGTCAAAATCCTATATACATAAACTAACACTTCGTAGTTCGTAGAATCGTATGATCGTGTTTAAAAACTGCATAGAAAAAGAACACTTCTAACGGCTCATGTAAACGCAAAATATGTAAGTTAACTTACCCCCTTCTGATTATTAATTAATTTTTTCATTGTCCCCGTAGCCACGACAGCTGTAAATCAACCGAAACACCGCAGTTAAAGCAATTAAAAATAAGTTAACTGCAGAAAATACATAACTTCATAGTATATACAATTCTACATACGTCACGACACATACTTGGGTACTAGTGTACGACAAATTATACCATAGTAGGGGACCTAGCGAAACAAAGTTTTACCGAGGCTTCATTTATTCTCTTTGTATGACTACGAAAGGAATTGTTAAAATACGATTACTTACAAAATGTCACGAAAACGCTAATACAAAATCCAGGATCTTTATTACAGGGCTGACTTATATAAAAAATCATATTTTCACGATAACGTCTCCCATAAAACTTCCTATAAAATAGAAATCGCCTAGAGATAAAAATCTGATTCGGCCGATAAAAAATGCCTTTCCAATCACACTTAGTTTTAACACACACGGTGTGGACAATTTTCTTAATCTCATCAGTACATCGGCTTAAGAGATGATTTGACAGTAATCAAATCCACGAATAAATGAGTAATTAATTATTCCTGTAGGGCCATTTCATTAATTACGAAACAGTAATGACGTTTTTAAGAAAGATTTCTATAAAAATTATAAAAACAAAAATACACGTATTTCTAAAGCGTACTATCATTCATTAAATTACTTTTTTATAATTTTATTTATGAATGCTAAGATATAAGATAAAAAAGTAGGTCAACTTTTCAGATACTTTGAAGTTATATGAGATAGCATTCCGTTATAACTGAACTTATGCCAAATATGCTGTATTTTGTGTATAAAACATAGAATAAACTGCGCAACTTGTAAAATTTCGACGGTAAATGTGCGTTTTCTTTGGAAACTATACCGTATTTATTGTTGTAGCGCAGCATCGGTACACAAGATATACTATATTTCTTCGTTTGTTTGTTCATTGAGTTTTTGCCAGAACATATCGTTTTATAGATAGTTCTTTTTCAAGATTCCACGGTGTGGAAAATTTTAAATATATATTTAAAAATTCCACAGATCATTTTCTTCCAAATTTAAATATATCAAGAATTAACACCACAACTTGCCACAGATCTCTTCCACCTTGTGAAAGAGGGTTCGAGCTGTTACTGGAAGACTGTTTAGAAAAATACCAAAACAAACAGACAATGTCAAATTCAATATTTCCCCCGTAAATCTTATAATCTACAAATGTATCACAGTGACAACAAACCCTGCACCATAAACCCAAAACTCTAAGAACTTTAAAGTTAATGAAGAGAAACTCTTTGTTCTATAGTCTGTTAAGATACACAACAATATCCACCCACGTCATGCTCTGTATAACTCAAAGACAAGAAAATGGAAGATATAGACTATGATTGGACAAAACGATAAACAGAATGTAACATCGAGATCTGATTGTTATGTGGGACAATGGTACGTTGGAAATTTTAAAATGGCCGAAAAAACAATGAGCGTGTCGTAAAAATTGGAACACCGTACATTTCCGAGGTACTGTATTTTCGTCATTTGTATACATGCATTGCTGTGTTACATGCTGCGTTTTGCATAGTTTTATGAGTCTCTTTTCCTATAGATGTAACAGTTAATAAATATAATTAGATATTAGACACAATATCGGCAGGTGAAAATGTCTTTCTAAGGACCTGGACACATCGCGGATTCAGGAGGGTTGGGGGGGTGGTCATATGGTCACGACGAAGTACGGATTGTAAAAAACGAAGGGAGAGAGAAAGAGTGTTCACTAGGGGCTGTACAGCCATTAATGATGATGAAGATTTTGTTTATCATCAATCGCGTTTTAAGCCGTCATAAGCGAAGTTCATTTAATGTGTACCAATCGATTAAATTGGTGTACTACTCGTAGACAATGGTCGATAAAAAGGATTTAGATTTGTGTCCGCATCGGCATTGTAATAAACTTAATTACAATTGTAAACCCACAATAACATTGTGCTTACAGCGTCATCAATCTTCCTCATTGTTTTAATTACATTTATTAATACTTGTTTATTTCATCAGACAAATGTATCAATTAAAGGGTTATTCGGTTTGATTTGCAATCGGCGGGATCTTAATTATCGATTCGCTTAATTAAACTTCGTTCATTTAAATTAAATGTATATTTCTATAGGTTAAGGAAAGTTTTTGCTTGGCAAAAAACGCAACGACTTATTTTCGCCGCCGTAGCTTAATGGTTAAAACAGTTCAGGAGTCGGTCTCGGCGCATAAAGGTCTGATGAGAACGTAGCTGTATGTAAAAAAAATTACGGTTTAAAACGCGAAATATTTTTAATATATTTTCGATCCGACAGTTCAAACTTTCTCAGTAGACGTAGTCATGGAAGGACAAAAAATTGGCGAAGCGTCTATAACATCTAAGGCATATTTTATGCGTTTTTAACAGTTAAAAGTGTTTAAATAAAACACTTTAACGGTTTAAAACGGCAATAAATTGTAATATTTGAAATTATTTTTAACTTAGGCCCGACGTTTCGGATGCTTTGCAGCATCCGTGGTCACGGGGAGAGCCGAAGTAAACATTTCAAATAAGTTACATTTTTACCTAAGTGTTTATTTAACTTGTACTACCGCGTAAACATAAACAGAATAAAAGTGTTATAAACTATTTTCGCGTGAGAACAGACATAAAAATGTCCGCTTCGTTGCCCATTGCGAGAATTAGGAATCAACCTTAGCTACGGGTATAGTTTTAGTCCCAAAAGTTATTCACCTAATTGGCCAATATATAGCAGTGTGGGAGTGAGGACCTGAGAGTCTTTTTACAATACACTACATTTCAATTAGACTAATCGAAGCTTACAGCGTACATAGGCAGGTAATCTGCAAATATTCGCTACTCGCAATAGACACATAATATAGCTATCCTACAGTCCCATTCCAGTTTGTCCTGAAGTTTATTGATTATTCTATTCTAATGAAAATGGGACGCGTTAAGAGTTTCAATTTCATCGTCGCTATTTCAATTATCTTTTAATTAGAAAGCAATTCAAATTGTTGTGACAAGCATATATTCAACAATCTATATTAATATTATAAAACTGAAGAGTTTGTTTGTTTTAACGAGCTAATCTCAAAAGCTAGTTGTTCGTATTGAAAAAGTATTTTCGTGTTGGATAGACCATTTATCGAAGGAGGCTCAGATAAAAACGAAAAAATTGTGGAAAATCTCAACAAAACGGGGAAAAATCATCTTTTAAGGCTTCCGTTGCGTGCACTGCGAAAGAGTTCATGAAACCAAAAAATTAAAAAATGATTTATCTTTAAATGGCCAAAAAATGTCCCCGACAATATTTTCCTCTA